AAAAAAAAAAAAAAAAAAAGAATGTAGGTAGCACAGTGGATCCCAGAAGAGGAATAATTTGGTTGACTTTTGTCACAGCAATTGTACTAGACTATAGGAGACTGTCCTGCAATTTAGTGTCACAGATGGAATTCTGAGTCTCTCAAGTCTCTCCTGCTGTGCAACCTCAGTGAGTTATTTAACCTGAGTCTCAAAGTCCTTGTCTGACTTGGTGGGAGGATTAAGTGAGATGGTGCATACTCGATCACAAGTCACTGCTTTTTGGTGCACAGTGAGAGCTCACCATGGTTCGTGTCATTGTCACCACAATGACAGTTCTCCCACTTGCTAGCAATTGTATTCAATCTCTGAGTGTTTGTTGAATTCCTGCCATGTTCAGGCATTTTCCTCAGTGGGAACAGCCCATCTGCCAATCACCTAGACAGAATAGGAGGCAGCACGTTGGGAGGGATGGCGTGTGCCTGGGCGATCTGGGGCAAGGGGACGGTGGAGTCAGGCTCTGAGGGACAAAGAGAATCTTTCCAAGCCAAGAAATAAGGAGCTGGGGTTAGCTGCGGTGGCTCACGTCTGTAATGCCAGTGCTTTGGGAGGCCAAGGCAGGAGGATCGCTTGAGGCAAGGCATTTGAGACCAGACCAGGCAACATAGTGAGACTCCATCTCTACAAAAATCAGCCAAGTGTGGTGGTGCAGGCCTATAGACCCAGCTCTTTGGGAGGTTGAGGCTGGAGGATTGCCTGAGGCTAGGAGTTTGAGGCTGTAGTGAGCTATCACTACACACCAGTTTGGACTATAGAGGGAGACCTTATCTCTTAAAAAAAAAGGTAGTCGGGGAATGAAGAGGGAAGAAAGATTAAGAGGAGGAGAGGGAGAGAGGAAAGGAGAAGAGAAGGGATTCACAGGTAAAGGACAGAGCCAGGACAAACATCCACTTGTCAGGATGAAGAGAATCATCCATCATGACTGAAAAAGCTGTTATTTAAGCTAGTCTTTTTTTTTTTTTTGAGTCAGACTCTCACTCTGTTACCCAGGGTGGAGTGCAGTGGCAAGCTCACGGCCACCGCAGTATTGACCTGCTGGGTTCAGGTGATCCTTCCGTTTCAGCCTTCCAGGTAGCAGAACTACAGGCATGCGCCACCACGCCGGGCTAATTTTTTTTTTATTATTTAGTGTAGAGATGAGGCCTCGCCATGTTGCCCAGGTTGGTCTCGAATCTGTGGGCTCAGGCAATCCTCTCACCTCCGCCTCCCAAAGTGCTAGGATTACAGGTGTGAGCCACTGTGCCCAGCAGCAAACCAGCTGTTATTTAAACTGGCTTGATCAGTACTAAAGAGAAGGATTCGAGCCAGGCTCGGTGGCTCAGCCTGTAATCCTGTGCCTTTGGGAAGCTGAGGTGAGTGGATTGCCTGAGCCCATGGGTTCGAGACCCACCTGGGCAGGCGAGACCTCATCTCTACAATAAATCAAAAAATCAGCTGCACATGGTAGCGCATGCCTGTAATTCCGGCTACTCGGAAGGCTGAGGTGGAAGGATAGCCGGAGCCCAGCAGGTCGAGGCTGCGTTGGCCGGGAGCGGCCACTGCACTCCAGTCTGGGTGACAGAGTGAGACTCCAACTAAAAAAAAAAAAAACCAAAAAAAAAAAAAAAAAAAAGAGAGAGAGAAGAATTCATAACCAAAATGTTATGCATTTTTTCCCCAATGTAGTATTTTGAAAAACTATTTATGTCACCCTACAGTTGGACATAGATTGTTGTATACATATTACACAGCAAAGGCTGATCGAGTGATCTCTAAGTTCCTGCCAACTGGACGCTCGTGTACACAGAAGCTCCCCTGTAAGACTGCCACGAGGGTAAGGACCATCTGTCTGAGAGATGAGCTTGGCAGGGCAAGTAGAGGGCACTGGATGAACATCATCATTGCTCTCCAAACCAAATAAAAAGGGAGGAGTAGAAGAGCCCATTTTAAAACACTTCGCCACAAATATATTAATGACACATTTCATTTATGATCTAATGCCCCTGAGAAGTTGCAAGCTCATACTCCCTTCCAAAAGCGAGCTCCTCTCAGGCTGGGTGTATGGCTCATGCCTGTAATCCCAGCACTTTGGGGGACCGAGGTAGGAGGACTGCTTGAGCCCAGAAGTTGGAGACCAGCCTCGGCATCACAGTAAGACCCTGTCTCTGCAAAAAGTCAAAAATTAGCCAGGTGTGGTGGCCCACGCCTGTAGTCCCATCTACTGGGGAGGCTGAGGTGGAAGGATCGCCTGAGCTCAGGAGGTTAAGGTTGTGGTGGTTGAATCACTGCACTCCAGCCTGGGCAACATAGTGAGATTTTGGCTTGAAAAAAAAAAAAGCTAGCTCCTCTGTCCCTCAACTCACATGCAGTCACCATGTTCTCCTATCTTTACCAGCCTCCTCTTACCTAAAGGGGAAAATTTAAGTGCCTTAACATAAAAGGCAAGGCCACCTTCATGTACATTTCAAGCATCCATCCCTCCCTCATTTATTCTCCATACCCTGCCTCAAATTTCATGACTTTGCAACACCAAGCTCCCAGCAGATCCCACATACGTTACCTTCCTTGTCACTTCCAACCCTCTTCTCCTGTCTGGAGCCTTCCTCTCCCACTTCCTTAACCCACTGTCCAAGTCTCAGCTCAGATGTCCCATTTCCTGGAAGACTATTCTGACCCTCTGGGTAGAGTTGGCTTGCTCCTGCTACCCTCCTCGACCCCTTGTGGCCGCCTCACAAGGCTCTCATGGGTCACTGCTCGTGGCAACCTGGTTGGATGCCTGTGGCATCTCCCATCTGAAGGCCTTATTCATCTGTGCATCTCCAGTTTCTAACACGGCACCTGGCTCAAATAAATGCGTGAATTAATGGAGCGGGACTTGGGAGCTGATGATGACCTCAAGTAAAGGCCATACTTCAGTGGCAATAGACACATAAAGCAGAATTAATACAAGTAAAACCATATTCTTCATCTTCCCCATATTTCTCTTTCTTTCTCTTTCCTCTAGCCTCAGCCTCCCAAAGTGCTGGAATTACCAGCATAAGCCACCATGCCCAGCCTGGTTTTTTTTTTTTTTTTTGAGTTGGAGTCGCACTCTGTCACCCAGGCTGGAGTGCAGTGGCATAGTCACAGCCACCGCAGCCCCGAACTGCTGGGCTCAGGCGATCCTTCCGCCTCAGCCTTCCAAGTAGCTGGAACTACAGGCATGTGCCACCATGCCTAGCTAATTTTTTGGATTTACTGTAGAGGCAAGATCTCATCATGTTGCCCAGGTTGGTCTCAAACTCAGGGGTTCAGGTAATCCTCTCGTCTCTGCCTCCCAAAATGCCTCCTCATGCAGGCCTGAGTCACCGCTCTCAGCTTTTTTTTTTTTTTTTAACTTTATTTTATTATAAAGATGTGGGGTACAAGTCAGGATTAGGTACATAAGTAATCTACATGCAGGTGCAGTTTGGGCCTCCAGCTGGTCCTCACTCACTTCCCCTAGTTTAGGATCAGGTACCCTTTGTGTCATTATGTTCCCTCCTTCCTACCCCAGCAGTGTCCTCATACTTCTCTTTATTCCTGCAATCTCAAAATGGTTTTTCTAAAAAGGAAAAATTTCATATTTGTTAAAGAAGTGACGGCCTCAAATGTATATACAGGCTAGCTAAGCATAACTTCTTATTTTAGGAGGCCGATTGGAAACAAAAGAAACATTGTTAATAAAGAGAACTTCCGTTAAGGAAAGGCAACAGGATGCGGCAAAAATGCCAGAGACTACAGCTTCCAAATGCAGAGGAAATATAGAGACAGATCATGGGAAGAAAACAGAAGATCACGCCAAATTCTCACACTTTCAAGACTCTTCTGAAATACTGTGTGTAATCACTTTGATGTTATTTGTTTTCAAATATCAGGCTGCCAAGGAAAACAGAGACCATGGAAAAGGTAAGTTGAAGTATAGTCAGAAATTGCAAAAGGAAGAACCACTTCAATAAGGGGTCACCAATTAACTTGGAAATCGATATAGTGGGGTGCTGTGTATCTGCACCCTACTACCTCAAGGGGCCTTGACGTACAGACCTACCTTGCAAGAGGGGGACTAAACACTCATATAGGCAGGTTCCATTTCCTAGGTACTTCTTGGAAACTGCCAACAAATAAAAGCTTTAAATTAAGTTTTCTTAGTGACCTGAAATAAGCAATTTATTTCCTTACCATATTTGCTATTCTTTTTTTTTTTTTTGAGTTTCACATTAACTGGAACTTTATTTGCTTAAAACCTAAACATTGTCAGTTTGAGAAGAAATCCACTGTGAAGTGTAGATTCATCTTGCCAATTAAGTTCTAGGGTGGTTTTGTTATTTTTGGATCCTTGGCAAAACTTTACCCAAAAATCAGGATACATGTGTATTTTAAAAACATGAACCATTAGAGGAAGAAATATGAAATCAAGAGTGAGTTCAGTTTTGTAGGCCCCTGCTTTTTTTTTCCCCCCAGCTCCTTAAAAGACTGTAGCAGGATGAAAGGATCACTGGCTCCGAGTCTCTTTGAGATAATAAGTGATGAAATAAAAAAAGAAATCCCACA